CCCTCCCTCCCTCCCTCCATGTGAACACAGCTGGCTATTTTTTCCGCTCCCCGCCAGCATCATCAGTCTGAATATGCATTGAGGCCACTGCACGTACTGTGAGTCAAACAGGCAAGGCCAGGAGTGACGTGTGCTCTGGGTGTGCGTCACTGGATGGGCGTCAGGGATCACTGAGGGCAGAGGTTTGGTCTGTTTTCCATTTTTATACATTTTTATTGATTTCTGAGAGGAAGGGAGAGTTAGAAACATCAACGATGAGAGTGAATCATTGATCAGCTGCTTCCTACATCCCACTCACTGGGAATGTCCCTGCAACCCAGGTACATGCCCTTGACTGGAACTGAACCCGGGACCCTTCAGTCCGCAGGCCGACGCTCTATCCACTAAGCCAAACCGGTTAGGGCTTGTTTTTCTTTTTTCTTTTCTTTTTTTTTTTTTAAATATATTTTATTGATTCTGTACAGAGAGGAAGGGAGAGAGATAGTTAGAAACATCGATGAGAGAGAGTCATCTATCAGTTGCCTCTTGCACACCCCCTACTGGGGATATGCCCGAAACCAAGGTACATGCCCTTGACCAGAATCGAACCTGGGACCCTTCAGTCCCCAAGCCAACGCTCTATCCATTGAGCCAAACCGGTCTTGGCTTGTTTGTCTTTTTTTATACATTTTTATTGATTTCCAAGAGGAAGGGAGAGTTAGAAACATCAATGATGAGAGAGAATCATGGATTGGCTGCCTCTTGCATGCCCCTCACTGGGGATTGAGCCCACAACCAGGGCATGTGCCCTGACCGGGAATTGAATTGTGACCTCCTAGTTCATAGGTTGATGCTCAACCACTGAGCACACCGGCTGGGCGGTTTTACCTGTTTTGTTCACGATTATATCCTGACAGTGCCTGGCCCAGTGTGGAGACTCTGTCAATATATGTCAGCAGAATAAATGAATGACTCCCGAACCCTCAGCTGAGTCTGGGGAAAATGGAGGTAGAGCATGAGGCGCCTGGCTCAGGCCTGTGGGTTGACTGACGGAGGAACCAGCATTTCACCTGGGTCCCCAGTTCCTCCCCAGGTGGCATATTTGTTCATGTTCACAGCGCCTTTCCTGGCACCGGCCAAACCCGTTTCAAGGAAGCGCTCGCTGGGCAGCTGGAAGCCTCTCAGGGTGGGGCTCAGCGTTGGAGTCACCTCTCCTGAGGTCCCGCCCTGCCAGGGCCAAGCCGCATAGGGGCTGAGCTGGGCAGAGAGAGGTACAGAGCTGGGCATTTCTTCTCCGCAGGGCTGTGCTCTGACTGGCAATGCCTGCTCCGGAGCTGCCCACTGGGCCACCGTGGCTTCACGGGGCCTGCATTGCTTTCAGCTGTCCCACACTTGGAGGGATACCCCCTGGGCTGGGGACCCCATGTAGAATGGGCACCATCAGGGCATTGCTGGGAAAATAACAGACACTCAGATTCAAGGTCAGGACTGAGGGCCTTAAAGGTTGGATTGGAGCAAAAGGGCACTGGTCACAATCCAGAGAATCTCCAAATTCAAGGTCAGCTCAGAAGACAGTAGCTGGTATAGCAGCATACAGAGACCTGGTTTGAGGACTGACCAGTGGTACACGGATAGGTAATAATCAACTAAGGCCCAGCTTCCGGCTCAGACTAGGGAGGCTTCTGTTGAAGTAAACACACAGATTCGAAGTCAGACAAAGGACATGGGACATTAACGGAGGCCTGGAATTGAGGCAAGATGTGAGTGGCATTGGTGGCAGAATGGCTAAGAGTTCCGGATATGAGGTTAAACCAGAGGCACGGAGATGATGGATAAACGAACAGAGGCCAAATTTGACCAATAAGATTCTTTTTATTTTATGCTCATTATTCATTGATTATTGTATTTATTTATTTTAAAAAGTTTTAAAAATTGATTTTCTAGAGAGAGGGAGAGAGAGAAGAGAGGAGAGAGGAGGGAGGGAGGGAGAGGGAGGGAGAAAGAGAGAGAGAGAGAGAGAGAGAGAGAGAGAGAGAGAGAGAGAGAGAGAAACATCAGTGATCAGCTGCCTCCTGCATGCCCCCTACTAGGAATCGAGCCTGTACCCCAGACATGTGCCCTGACCGGGAGTCAAACCAGCAACCTTTCAGTTCACAGGATGACACCCAACCAACTGAGCCACACCAGCTAGGGCTGAAGATGATGTCAAAGCAAGATGTCAACTCTGCCACCTCCGAATTTTACAATGAGAAAACCTCCAAAGTCATGTATAACAATATGCATGATCAGCCATCTTGAATCCAGACTCCATAAAGAAGATGAAGAGCGTGAAGGAGAGTTTGAGAACAATGAAACCCGCCCAAATGATCTTGCCCATCCCCGACTTTGGATGGAACCCAGCAACCCTTGGGTGCTGCATGCTGTGCAGAAGGGTTAGCAGAGCATGCCCCAACTGCTGTCCTTGGGAAGGTCTGCTTCAAGGTGAGCTCTTGGCTGGCGTTTGGAAACGTAGACTTTAGAATGGCTCTCACTACTCTATTCATCTAAGCACCGTGGTTTATGCTGAACACCTGCTTCCCTCTGGGAGTCTGGAAGTTGTAGATGTACCAGGAAGGGGTTGCCTAGGTGACCAGCCACCAATAGAAACCCTGCGTGCTGAGTCCCTGGCAGCTTGTGCTCCTGGGCTTTATCCCATGGGCCTTTGCCCTTGCTGGTTGATCTCTGTATCTTTTTGCTGGAAGAAACCATCACCAGGTATATGCTGAGACTGGGTCCACCTAGCAAATCATTCTCTGGGTGGTCCTGAGGCCCTCCAACACACATATACACTGAATGGCCAGATTATGATCTCTGAACGCATAATCATCTGGCCATTCAGTATATATATATATATATATATATATATATATATATATATATATATATATATATATATATATATATATGAGGCCCGGTGCATGAATTCGTGCATGGGTGGGGTCCGGCCAGACTGGCCAGGGGGAGGGGACATGGGTGGTTGGCAGGCCTGCCTGCTGGTCAAACTCCTTGTGGAGGGGACAATTTGCATATTAGCCTTTTATTCTATGGGACAGACATGGAGTGGCCAGATGATTATGTGTTCAGAGATCATCATCATCTGGCCACTCGCTGTATCCATGACCTGGATCCTGAACAGTCCAGCTCTCTGGTGTCCCCATCTCATCACCATTTACCTAAGGGTCTCTGAGATGGAAGCACAGTAAGTCCTCACTTAAAGTCATCAACAGGTTCTATACTTCGAGCAAAACGATATATAACAAAACCAATTTTGCCACAGGCTCATTGATATCAACCAGAGTTCAGTTTCTAAGGCATCTTATCAACATGATCACAAAACGACATTGAACAAAATAGCGTTATTCAAGGACCTGCTTCTGGCTACAAGTAACCACACAGTCCAACAACAGTGGCTGTAACCAACAGGAGGTTCTTCTCCTCCCTCAGCAAGACTGCTGGTGTTAGGTCAGCAGCTCAACCATGTTGGGCCAGGCTGGTGTCTCTGTGACTCTGTGGACTGACTCTGAGGTCTCAAGATGGTGTCACGCTTCCCACTGATGCTTCAGCGGTCCCCTCAAATACTGAACATCACTTGGTGGCCTCCGAGTAGTTCCAGGGCTGGACTTTGGGCCCTGGGTGGGCATGAGAGGAGCTGTGGGTGGTTTGGAGTTCCTCTGGGGGTGGAGAGAAGCCCCTTGTCCTCCACTCCTAGTAGCCATTAGCTCAGCCTTAGGGTTCATGGTCGCTCCTGCCCTGGCGTGCACTTCAAGTCCTCAACACCTTTGCTTCCTGCTTCTGGACAACCTGATGCACAGACAGCTGTGGGACCCAGGCAGTGGCCGTCTGGTGAGCCCTAGCTGGTATAGCTCAGTGGATAGAGCATCAGCCTGCGGACTGAAGGGTCCCAGGTTTGATTACTGGTCAGGGCACATGCCCGGGTTGCAGGCGTGATCCCCAGTAGGGGGCGTGCGGGAGGCAGCCAATCAATGATTCTCTCTCATCATAGATGTTTCTCTCTCCATCTCCCTTCCTCTCTGAAATCAGTTTCTTTTTAAAAAGTTCTCAAGGTTCATCCATGTTATATGTAGCGTCTATGAAAACTTTATTTAAAAAAAAAAAAAAAAGGTACGGTGACTCCCGCCTCACTCAGACAAAAGCCCAAGTTCTCCTCCTGGCCCACAAAGCCCTCCAGGATCGGGCCGGGCTAACCTCATTCCCTGCCACATCGACCTCTGCCAATACCCCAGGGGCACGTTCCGGCCTCCGTGCCTTCGCACTGCTCTGTCTGCACCGTTCTCCCCCAGGTATCGTGGCTCTCTCTCTCACTTTTTTCGGATCTCTGTTTACCTTTCACAGTCCGGGATGTCTCCCAGGGTGACGGCACCCAAAAGAGCCCAACCTTCCACACCTGCACCGCCATCTCCTGGCCTCACTTTCTTTTTTTAAAAATATATTTTATTGATTTTTTTACGGAGAGGAAGGAGAGCCAGAAACATCAATGAGAGAGAAACATCGATCAGCTGCCTCCTGCACAGCCCCCATTGGGAATGTGCCTGCAACCAAGGCAGATGCCCTTGACCAGAATTTAACCTGGGACCCTTCAGTCCACAGGCCAACGCTCCATCTGTTGAGCCAAACCAGTTAGGGCTCTCCTGGCCTCACTTTCTTTTTCCTCCCGACGCCCATTTCCAGCTGGCCTATTATCTATTTCCGTGCGACCCCGCGAGGGAGGGCAGGGATTGGTCAGTTTAGGTCACAGCTTACCCCGAGCCTAGAACAGTCCCTGACCCATAGGACATACTTAGCAATGTCTGTCAATGCACGACTGGGAAACCCTCAAGGTGGTGCCTCTGACGAGGCAGACAGACAGTCAATGGCTGCTGAATGAGAAAAGAAATCAGAGCACACATGCATGAAGAAATAAGGGAACCCCTGCCCTCTCCCCCCTCCCCTCCCGTGCCCCCAGCAGCCCTGGGAGCCAGCTGTGGGCACGAGCACAGGATCTTTATTTACAAACAGGAGGCCGGAGCGCGGGCCGGGTGGGAAGGTGGGCAGGGTGGGGCTGGAGGCTCCTACTTCTGCTCCCGCCGCCAGACGATGACCATGCCGCTGGCGTCGCTGGAAGCCAGCAGGCTCTCGTCGCAGTTGAAGCTCACGTCCAGCACCGGGGCGCTGTGGCCCTGCAGCTTGTTCACCGCGGCCTTGGCTGCCCGCTCCACGTCGAAGAAGTGCACGCACATGTCCTCGCTGCCCGTCACTGCGCAGGGGCGGACAGGCTGTCAGCGGGTGGTGCAGGAGGTGGGGTGACCCCAGGGAAAGTCTCTGAGGTTCCAGCATGCCTGGGGGGTAGGGGGCCCCTTCCTAGACGGAGAGGCTAACTGGCCCTTTTGGTTCTACACGGAGAGATTGATGAGAGAATCCCTCTCTGCAGTGCGGTGTCTGAGCTGGTCGGGGCTCTGTGTTCCAAGTGCAAGGCCGCTGGGGTGGGAGGGGTCTCAGGGCCCGGAAGGCAGCGCCTCAGGGTGTCACGATGTCTGAGCCCCATCAGCACCGGCCTGGTCTCTGCCTGTCCCCGGCCGCCCAGACGCCCGGCCCCATGGCACTCACCCACGCAGGCGCCCTGGCGGAAGGACATGAGCGGGCAGAAGATGCTGCGGACGGGGTGCGAGCTCTGCTCGATGGGGAAGCTCCTCTTCAGCTGCAGGGTGCCCTCGTTGTCCACCACCCTGAGGAGGGGGAGAGCGGGTCAGGGCAGCCTCAGGCCCCGAGGGGGACCCGTGCTGTGCTAGTCCGTGTCCCTGTCCCTGTCCCTGCACCGAGTTCTCTCAAGGCTCATGAAATCCAGTCCTGGGACCAGTGCGTCAACCTGGAAAGCATGGCTGGTGTGGGGTTTAGTGACTATTTGGACACTCTATCTGTGTTTTTAAAAATATATATTTTATTGCTTTCCCACAGAGAGGGAGAGGGATAGAGAGTTAGAAACATCGATGGGAGATAAACATCCATCAGCTGCCTCTTGCACCCCCCGCCCCCACTGGGGATGTGTCCGCAACCAAGGTGCATGGCCTTGACCAGAATTGAACCTGGGACCTTTCAGACTGCAGCCCGACGTTCTATCCACTGAGTCAAACCGGTTAAGGCTGGACACGTTACATTCAAAGTTGTTAACATGCTTGACTGTGGCAGGCGGTGGCCAAGATGTTTCCCCGAAAATAAGACAGCCTCCGAAAATAAGACCTACTTACAGGTTTCCTTCTGAGTGAAATATAAGGCATCCCCCCGAAAATAAGGCCCCCCTTAGGCTAAACATGAGAGATTTGGTCCACTGATTCTGAAAGAAATGGAGTCACAAGAAATTCACCAGGAAATTCAGGAATTGGATTGTTATGATGATGTTCCAGAAGATGATGACATGATTGTCATTGAATAAATGAGTAAATTCTTGATACTGTAGGATTCACAGTTTGTCCGGTTTTTGTTGACAACTACCGTACTACCGTACCGTATACAGGTAATAAATTTCCTTTATTTTCATTTAACAATAAATGTGTACAGTATTGTTCTTCATGGAAAAATAAGACATCCCCTGAAAATAAGACCTAGTGCATCTTTGGGAGCAAAAACTAATATAAGACACTGTCTTATTTTGGGGGAAACAGGGTAGTAAAATGGCAAGCATCCTGTCGGGCAGTGGCCTTCAGGCATAGCTGCATGATACCTAGGGAACTTTTCAATATACCAATGCCCAGGTTGCCCCAGAGCTTCTGAAATCCCTGGCCCCATCCGGCCAGCATGGCTCAGTGGTTGAGCATCGACCTATGAACCAGGAGGTCACTGGTTCGATTCCCGGTCAGGGCACATGCCGGGATTGTGGGCTCAATCCCATGTGGGGCATGCAGGAGGCAGCTGATCAGTGATTCTCTCTCATCATTGATGTTCCTATCTCTCCCTCTCCCTTCCTCTCTGAAATCAATAAAAACATATTAAAAATAAAAAAGAAATCCCTGGTCTGGAGTGGGGCTTGGCCATGACTTAATTTGTATTATTATTTTTATTGCTTTTAGGGTGGAAGGGAGAGAGAAAGAGATTAATGAGAGAGAATCACTGATCAGCTGCCTCCTGCACCGTCCCTACTAGGGGATCAAGCCCACAACCTGGGCATGTGCCCTGACCTGGAATCCAACTGTGACCTTTTGGTTCCTAGGTTGACACTCAACCACTGAGCCACACCAGCTGGGCCTGGCCATGACTTTTGAAGTCCTTCAGGTCATTCCAACATGGGGTCCAGGCTGAGAACTGCATTTGGTAGCATGATATATGTGAGTGGGGACAGAAAAATTTCCCTCTTCAAAAAAAAAGGAAAACGGGTCACTGCTCTATGGGGCCCTAGTCCATGCTATGCCTCAGTTTGCTCATCTATAAAATGGACATGATAAGAGCACCTACCTCACAGAGCTTATGAGGATTGAATGAGATATGTATGAGGTGCTTTGAAGAGGACCTGGCCCCAGTAACTGCTCCCTAACTGCTAGCTACTGCCATTACTATTTTTTTTAAACATATTTTTATTGATTTCACAGAGAGAGGAAGGGAGAGGGAGAGAGAGAAACATCATCGATGAGCCCTAGCTGGTTTGGCTAGGTGGACAGAGCATTGGCCTGTGGACTAAAGGGTCCCAGGTTCGATTTCCGTCAAGGGCACATGCTCTGGCTGTGGGCTCGATCCCCAGTAGAGGGCGTGCAGGAGGCAGCTGATCAATGATTCTCATCATTGACGTTTCTATCTCTCCCTTCCTCTCTGACATCAAAAAAAATGTCTTTAAAAAGAAAAAGAAAAAGAAACATCATTGATGAGAGAGAATCATGGATCGGCTGCCTCCTGCACACCCCCTAGTGGGGATCAAGCCTGTGACCCAGGCCTGTGCCCTTGACAGGATTCAAATCCAGGACCCTTCAGTCCACAGGCCGATGCTCTATCCACTGAGCCAAGCCGGCCAGGGCTGCCATTACTTTTTACGGCTACTACTGAGGTCATCATAATAGGAGGGGGAGGAGGAGGGGGAGAGGGAGAGGAGCAGGGGAAGGGGAGAAGGCCTCTCCCCATCTCCAGGTAGCTGAGGAGGGAGACCCACCTGTAGAGCAGCAGCTTGTTGAGACAAGCATTTATGAGCAGCGAGGGGTCTCGGGCCTCGCGGCTGACCCAGGAGCGGGCAGAGATGCTGGTCACAGGGCTGCCTTCATGCACCACCAGGCGCTTGGCCTTGGTCAGCTTCCCTGCGACCACGGAGGGGAGAGGAGGCCAAAGTGAGGCGAGGGCTGCGGACCAGCAGGGCGGGAGTGCGAGCACCCGGATGTGGGCCTGGGGCCGCCTACCTGTGGCCATGTCGAAGAGGAAGGAGAATACACTGCCTCGGTCATCCCCTGCCCAGAGCAGCCGGCCAGGGGCGTCGAAGGACAGAGCCAGGACCCGGCCTGTCAGCTTGCTGGACCCGCCCTTCACCTTCTTGCCCGTGGAGATGTTGACGACGTGCAGGTTTTGCTTGGCATTCCCGACCTGTGGGCGAGACCCACACACCGTCATCCCGCTCCCAGCCAGTCCCCCCTGGAGTCTGACCGCCGTGGGGCTGCTGTTAACGGGACCCACTTCCCTCTGCTGGAGTCTGATGCCAGCAGGGCCGTGGTGGGTAGACTAGAGGTGACCCAGGCCCACAATCCTCCCGAGCCAGCCCTTCTTATCATCTGACCACAGCACCCAGCGCGGCAGGGACCACAGGGGCCACAGACCCACAGCGTTGGCCTCGGCCAGTGCCCACTGTGCTCAGCAAAGCACAGGGCCGTCCTGGGCGCCAGTGGTCGGCAAACTCATTAGTCACCAGAGCCAAATATCAATGGTACAACGATTGACATTTCTTTGGGGAGCCACATTTTTTAAACTTCAACTTCTTCTAACGCCACTTCTTCAACATAGACTCGCCCAGGCCGTGGTCTTTTGTGGAAGAGCCACACTCAAGGGGCCAAAGAGCTGCATGTGGCTCTCGAGCCGCAGTTTGCCGACCACGACACTAGGCCCATGATAACAGCTCCCCTGCTGGTCCTCCCCGGAGCGTGATCCCACTGGGGCGGGGGCTGCTCCCCCTCCACCCCCCAGGGCCAGGCCAGGCTTCCTTTCCTCCTGCACTGCCCGCCTCTGACTCTATCTGAGGGTCGGACCACAGTGGAGCGTCCATTGAGAGATGAGGTTTCCATCTAGTGATCCTGCTCCACACCCAGCAGCCCCTGCAGGTGGAAATGGACGACCTACTGCTGACGGGACAAAGGGGTGGCAGACCCCTGGCCCCTACCCCCCGACTGGTCACCCCTGGTGTCTGTCTACCAGTGAGACCACCCCAATCCAAGACCTACATGTCCCCATTCTGGCTGGATTCCCTGAGCCTGACCACCAGGGGACCATGGCGATGGACTGGAGGGGATGCCCCAGAGCAGCTCTCCGGGCCCAGCACCCCGCCCCCGCGCCGGCACCCCGGAGCCTGACCACGGTGAGGTTGTTGTTGACCGGCTGGAAGGTGCAGCAGAGCAGCTCGGCGCCATCGGGGTCGGGGATCTCCCGGATGCAGCGGCCATCGTCAGAGGCCCAGATGCGCATGGTAGCATCGAGTGAGGTGGACACGAGGATGTCATTGGAGAGGGACCAGGCGAAGTCCGAGACGCCACGGGTGTGGCCCCGCAGCACGCGGAGCACGGTGGGCGGAGCGGGCACCAGCTGGCACAGGGAGATGCTGCCGTCGAGCGAACAGCAGGCCAGGCGGTGGCGGTCGTCATTGGCGAAGCGCACCCGGGGCACTGCAATGCCAAGGAGCCGCTGGTAGGAGCCAGCACACCCACCGGGTGCTTTTGTTTATAAAATTTCTGCCCGGCCAGTGTGGCTCATTGGTTGAGCATGGACCTATGTACCAGGAGATCACGGTTCCATTCCTGGTCAAGGGCGCATGCCCGGGTTGTGGGCTCGTCTCCAGTGGGGGGCATGCAGGAGGCAGCTGATCAATGGCTCTCTCATCACTGATGTCTCTCTCTCTCTCTCTCTCCCTCTCCCTTCCTCTCTGTAAAAAATCAATAACGTATATTAAAAAAATTTTTTTCCCGCCGAAGTGGGTTTGGCTCAGTGGATAGAGCGTCAGCCTGCGGACTGAAAGGTCCCGGGTTTGATTCCGGTCAAGGGCATGTGCCTTGGTTGCGGGCACATCCCCGGTAGGCGGTGTGCAAGAGGCAGCTGGCCGATGTTTCTCTCTCATTCACGTTTCTAGCTATCTCTCTCCCTTCCTCTCTGTAAAAAATCAATAAAATATATTTAAATAAATAAATAAATTTTCTTTTGTTAATCTAATCCTCACCCGAGGATAGTTTTCCATTGATTTTTAGAGAGCGTAGAAGGGAGGGAGACAGAGAGAAACATCGATGTGAGTGCGACACATGGTATGGTTGCCTCCCGCACGGCCCTGACCAGGGACTGGTTGTGGGCCCTGACCTGGGATCGGTAGGCCTCCCCCAAGCTCCCCAACCAGGCCGGGCTGGAGACTGCAGCTGAGGTTCGTGCCCTTGACCGGAATTGAACGCAGGACCTTTCAGTCCACAGGCTGAGACTTTATCCACTGAGCCACACTGGCCAGGGCTGTTGAGCCCCTTCATGGTAGACAAAATACCCAAGATTGTGCAGGCCCCTCTACAGAGGGCTTTTACGTTTGTGGAAGGTTTTAAGGGTTGGCAATGCCTCCTCCGGAGGTGGGCCAGAGACTGCGTTCTGGAAAAGAGTACAATGGGTGGTCGTGAGAGGTTTGGGGCAAATTCGTGGTGATGGGACTGGCCACCTACTGGCTCACCTGCCTCGTCCACGTGCTGGTCAAAAACATGGTACATGCCCGCAAAGGCGTAGTTCTCACTCAGCGACGTATCCCCAGCCATGGCTCGACTCGCTTCCGCTGCTGATGTGGGGACCACACTGCCAGGGGGCCTGGAACCCAACCAAGGGAGGAGGTGAGAGGAGGTAGGTCCTGGCATCCAGCCTGCCATTGCCCCTGGCTCCCCTCCTCCTCACAACCCGCCCCCCCTGCGTGGTCCCTGGTGCATACCTGTCCTCATAGACGGCGCGGTTCATCTGTGCCTGCAGCTGGTAGGAGCCTCGGCTGACAGAACGGCGGTGCCCGCGGGCCCCCAGGGCCCGAGGATCATCCTCGAAGTCCTGCAGGGAGGACCAGGGTGGGCGCATCTTGAAAAGGGCCCTCAAGAACCTCTGAGGTCTAGAGCCTTCAAAATATACCCAGGACCAGACCCCTCTCAGCCCATCCCCTGCCACCACCACCACCCACCTGTACCACGGTGGCTCTGCACTAGCTACCCCGCTCCCACATGGCCATGCCCGGGAGACACTCAATAGTGGTCTCTGAACGAGAAAACCACTCAGCTCAGTGTCTGGTTTCATTCAAGTCCCAGATCAACTTTCACCTCCTCAGAGGCCTTCCCTCATCATCCCCATTAAAAATAGCTTCCTGCCCTGACCACTTTGGCCCAGTGGAGAGAGCGTCGGCCTGCGGACTGAAGGGTCCCAGGTTCGATCCCAGTCAGGGGCATGTGCCTTAGTTGCGGGCACATCCCCAGTGGGGGTGTGCAAGAGGCTGCTGATCGATGTTTCTCTATCATCGATGATGCTTCTAGCTCTCTCTCCCTCTGTGTAAAAATCAATAAAATATATTTAAAAAATAGCTTCCTGCCCTGACTGGTTTGGCCCAGTGGAGAGAGCGTCGGCCTGCGGACTGAAGGGTCCCAGGTTCGATTCCGGTCAAGGGCATGTACCTTGGTTGTGGGCACGCCCCCAGTGTGTGTGTGGGGGTGCAGGAGGCAGCTGATTGATGTTTCTCTCTCATCGATGTTTCTCTCTGTCCCTCTTCCTTCCTCTCTGTAAAAAAAACAATACAATGTATTTTAAAAAAATAGCTACTTGCCTGGCCAGCATGGAGTGGCTCAGTGTTGAGCATAGATCTATGAACCAGGTCACGGTTCCATTCCCCGTCAGAGCACAGGCCCGGGTTGCCGGCTGGATGCCCAGTGTGGGGCGTGCAGGAGGCAGCTAATCAATGATTCTATTTCTCCCCCTCTCCTTTCCGAAGTCAATTAACCACTTATCTTTATCTTATCTGTATATGAGCATCCCTTTGTCTCTACAACAGTTGTTTTAGCCCCCTAATCTGCTTTATTTTTTGCTTGTTAGCATGTATCACTATAAGCAATGGTAATTATTGGATGTTTATCTGGTTTGCTATGATTATTGACCTAGTTATCATGTTTATTGCCTACCTATCAATGTGTTTATCTTATTTATTGTCTGTTTACCGACTTATCTCATGTATTATCTCCTTTGCCCTCTACTCATCCTAAGAGCTTAGAGCTGTGCCTTGCACATAGCAGGAGCCTGACAGGTCTGTTGAATAAACACGGAGGCAGGTGGCATGCTTGGCAGGCGGCGTGGAGGAAGCTCACCTCCATGCGGTCAAGGGTAGTGCGGCTGCTGCGGACGATGCTGTTGCTATAGGCACGGGCACTGCCTGGCTCAGAGAGGGGCCCGTAGCGCTGGCCCAGGAGCTGCCCACGCAGCCTCAGGTACTGCCGCCGCAGCGCCGGGGGGTGCCCAGCCTTGGCATTCTCCCGCAGGAGCTGGCTGCGCCGCCGGATGTACTGTGTCCGAAACTGCGGAAACGTCGGCGTGCGGTACGCGTTGTACCTGTGATGGCAGGAGGCAGGCGAGCAGCAGGCACAAGACAGACGGAATCAATCAACTCGGAGGGCAGGGAAGGAGGTGAGGTGTGTGGCAGGGAGGGGCCAGGATGGCAAGTGATCAGCAGTGCTGCTGGGGGTTCCTGTGGCGATGGGCAGGGGTGCGTGTACAGTGATAATGAACATGGAGAGGTCACGTGGGCATGTGACAGCTCGGCTGAAGTTGGTATGGGGTGACTGGTCAGTCTGACATGGCGAAGGGGTGAATGTGGGGCGGGGGGGGTCAGTATGGGTTGGTGATGGGATGAGACGGGGAGACGATGGCGGTAAGAGAAGTCTGGCGGACAACGGTGGGAAATAGGGTGTCACCGGCCTGAGCTCCATCACCTCCCCCCTCCCCTCCCGCAGAGGGTCTGCTGCCAGCCTCTTTGCGCATGCCCACGTGCCCGCCTTTTCCCAGCATGCTCTCTCGACCCTCTCCGGCCGGCCCGCGGAGGGCACACCCTGCCACTGCGCATGTCACCTCCGGCATGGCCGCGCAGCCGCACGGTGCCACCGCCCGGGCACCACGCCGCGGCCGCTCCCGGGGGATCGGCCCCGCGCCTCACCTCGCGTCTACGGCTAAGACCTGCTGCCACACCGCGGCCATTCCCCGGCCTCCTCCTCCGCCGCGTCCGCCCGCGGGCGCCTGCGGGAAAGGCCTGGGAGGTCAGCGGCTGCGGCGAACGGGGCCGGCTCCGCCCCTGCCGCCGGGCGATCGTGGCCGCAGACCGTGCGTCCCTCCGAGCCGAGATACCGTGAGATCACACCGCGCCGCCAGCATGGTCGGCGCTCCGGCCGCTCCTGGCAGCTCCGGGAGGGCCCGCGGCGGCGGCTCGGACCTCACTCCGCCCCCCCGTCGCCATAGCAACGCCCCTCCCCCAGCCTAGCAACCGCGCCCGGCCTTCCCCACCCACCTGGCCCCCACCGCCCCGCCTTCCCTTTCCGGCTCCGAGGACGGGGCCTGGATCGGGAGCCGCCTCCCGGGCTGCCTCCGGCTCTCCAGGCCCCCGGGGCGGCCCCGAGGCCGGCGTCACCCTTCCCCCTCTCCAGCTCCGGGCAAGATGGCTGCCCGCGGCCGGGAAGGGCCGCCCGGCGGAACGAGGGAGAGGAGTCCTCCCCGGAACGTGGGGAAGCACGCAGGCGCACAAGGCCCGGCGGCTTCCGGCAGGAGAGCGGGGGCTCCGCCCCTTCCATTCACCCCCTTCCCAGCCCCTGACACCCCAGAATGCTGTCCAGGGGCAAGGATGCGGATCACTCACCAAAAAGCAGAAATAGGACTTTCAGAAACAGAAACAGGATTTTCTTTTTTAAGTATCTTTTTATAAATTTCAGAGCGGAAGGGAGAGGGAGAGAGAGAGAGAAACATCAATGAGAGAGAATCACGGATGGGCTGCCTTCTGCACGCCCCACACTGGGGATTGACCTATGCCCGGAATCCAGCTGGGACCTCCTGGGTCATAGGTTGATGTTCAACCCCTGAGCCACCCAGGCCAGGCCGATTTTCTTTGAAAGGAGTGGTGTGTAAGCTGCTTTTTAGCAGCACACTTTAGCCAAGCAAAATCTGAAGCATAGAATAAAACCATCACACATGCACAGCCCCCTACAAAGTCCTCCAGTTCTTAGAGCGATTGATGGGCATCCGGACACACCAGGAGGAGAAATCCGTTCTGTGGGATGGATGTGTGTGTGTGTGTGTGTGTGTGTGTGTGTGTGTCTGTGTTCGCAGCACGCGGGGGAGGGGAGGAGGGGGTGGGTGGGTGTGCTGGGCTTGAAGCTCCTAGGCAACGGTTTGGGCATGAGTCTGCAAATAATTAGGCACAACAACCTCAGGAGCCTATCCGAATCCTCCTTATTTCAACTTCTCCCGGAAGCTGCACCTCTTCATCTTAAAGCGGTCAGGATATACAGCTTAGCAAGTTGAAATACAAGGTTTAGTACTTCCTATTGGATTTTAACATCAACTGCTACAATTCTCAAAATTGTGATTTTTTTACACGATTTTTTAATCACAAATACCATAATCTGAAAAATGTCCTAAAGCCACCTGAAACAAGGAGACACATCCAAGAGCATATTGCCGCCCTGGACAGTTTAGCTCAGTAGTTAGAGCACCGACCCGTGAACCAAAGGGTCTTAGGTTAGATTCCTGGTCAAAGGCAAGTACTTTGGTTGCAGGTTCAACCCTCCACCCCCCGCTGCCCCTAGTTGGAGCGCTAGTGGGAGGCAACCAATGGGATGTTTCTCTAATATGTGGATGTATCTCTCTCTTCCCCTCACCCATACTTTCCACTCTCTCTAAATATCAATGGGAAAAATATTCTCATTCATTGGGTGAGAATTAAAATAACATTTTTTAAAAAGCATATTGCCACCCTAACCAGTTTGGCTCAGTGGATAGAGCATCTGCCTTCGGACTGAAGGGTCCCAGGTTCGATTCTGGTCAAGGGCATGTACCTTGGTTGTAGGCACATCCCCAGTGGAAGATATGCAGGAGGCAGCTGATCAATGTTTCTCTCTCACTAATGTTTCTAACTCTCCATCCCTTTCCCTTCCTCTAAAAATCAACAAAATATTTTTTAAAAAGCATATTGCCTGCCGAAACCGGTTTGGCTCAGTGGATAGAGTGTCAGCCTGCGGAATGAAAGGTCCCAGGTTCAATTCCGGTCAAGGGCATGTTCCTTGGTTGTGGGCACATCCATGGTGGGAGGTGTGCAGGAGGCGCCTGACAGATGTTCCTCTCTCATCGATGTTTCTTTTTTTAAAAATATATTTTATTGATTTTTTTTACTGAGAGGAAGGGAGAGGGATAGAGAGCTAGAAACGTCGATGAGAGAGAAACATCGACCAGCTGCCTCCTGCACACCCCTACCAGGGATGTGCCCACAACCAATGTACATGCCTTTGACCAGAATTGAACCTGGGACCTTTCAGTCCGAAGACTGACGCTCTATCCACTGAGCCAAACCGGTTTCGGCCCTCATCAATGTTTCTAACTCTATCCCTCTCCCTTCTCTCTGTAAAAAATCAATAAAATATATGAAAGAGAGGAAGGAAGGAAGGAAGGAAGGAAGGAAGGAAGGAAGGAAGGAAGGAAGGAAGGAAGAAAAAGGTGGTGGGAAGAAATCACAGGAAAGTCAGCAATGCTAGGGAGATTGAATATCTGACTGCCAGAATTCTTTTAAAATATATATATTTTTATTGACTTGAGAGGAAGGGAGAATGAGAGAAAGAAATATCAATGACAAGAATCACTGATGGGATTGGTCAAGCCTACAACCCTACAGAATCAAACCATGACCTCATGGTTCCATAGGTTGATGCTCAAGCACTGAGCCACACTGGCTTGGTCTGTTGCTTTAAAAACTTTTCCCAAGGGGGGGAGCAGACACACACACCAAATAAAAATAAATAAAAACTTTGCCTAATAGCAGATCCATCTGCCAGAGGTAGATCTGGTGCAGAAATAATGTGAGTTAGAATGACCACAGCTGCCTCCTGCATCCATCATGCACTCTGCATTTTTTCAATTTCTGTTCTTTTCTAAGCATTTACACACTCTCATTGGCTTAAAAATAGGTTTTGAACAATAAGCTAACGATAGAAAGCACTTTCAGTTGTTGGGGAGAAATGGACAGAGATTATCAGCATGAATGGCAGGTCAGAGGGAGGGGAAAGGAGGGTCTCAGGACTGGAGGTGTCAAGTCCTGAGAATCTGTTCCTGGAGGCTGTGATGTTGGTTATAACCATGACCTCCAGAAAAGAAGCTCAAGCCCCCAGAGGACCACAAGTCCTCTGCACTCCAACAGCATCAGGGTTCTTTCGCTGTCAGAATGACAGATGAGGGTCCCAGCCAATTGAACAAACTAAACTAGATTTGGACAGAAAAGACAGGGAAGCCAGAGCTGTTTGAAGATCACACCACATCACAATAGCAACTTAAATGGTGGCAGAAACAGGCAGGGGCCATGTCTGTTCTGGATTCCTCCTTCCTCCATGTACCTTCGGCCTATCTGGCCCCCAGAGTTTATTTATTTATTTTTAATATATTTTATTGATTTTTTTTACAGAGAGGAAGGGAGAGAGAGACTTAGAAACATCGACCAGCTGCCTCCTGCACACCCCCTCCTGTGGATGTGCCTGCTACCAAGGTACATGCCCTTAACCGGAATAGAACCCGGGACCTTTCAGTCCGCAGGCTGACGCTCTATCCACTGAGCCAAACGGGTTTCAGCTGGCCCCCAGAGTTTAGAAATACAAAGGTGAGTACTGAGCCACACAGTCTGTGTCCACTGTTCATTACTAACAGAGGCTAAAGTGAAACCTGGAGTTGGCCAATCTTCAGGAACAAACAGGAGCATGATCTAAAAGCCTGGGTCGTTTGGGGTGCCAAGAATCAAGGCCAGAGAGGGACATTTGGGGAGACATGGAGCTGAAGTATAACTGGAACGCAGACACGGAGTCTTTAATTTACTTATCTCATCCCTGAAGTTTCTTCCTAAATGGGACAAGTGTGGGTTGAGAGATAAAGTCATAACTTAAAATTTTATCATTTCCCCTGAAGCCAAAGTTCTCACAGTGCTCAAAGTCTTTTTTTTTTTTAAGTATTTTATTAATTTTAGAGAGAGGGAGAGGGAAAGTGAGAGGGAGAGGGAGAGGGAGAAAAATCAACGATGAGAGAGAATCATTGATTGGCTGCCTCCTATAGCCCCACACTGGAGATCCAGCCTGCAACCCGGGCATGTCTTTGATGGGGAGAGAACCGTGATCTTGGTTCATAAGTCAAGGCTCAACCACTGAGCCACACCAGCTGGGCCCATTCTTGAAGTCTTAATGGTGAGATAACTCTCCACTGCCCGAGTCAGAAACACGTTTCCCGCAGTTGGGAAAAGCCTCCCAGGCCACTTGCACACTCTGGCAGGTGGAAGCAGGGAGCCAGCCTTCCAACACTTATCAATCAGGCCCCTGCAGGTACCAGGCACTGGGCAGCAGCAGTGACCCAGGGAAATGGTCTCCAGCCTCAGGGAGTTGCCATTTTAGCTGGAAAGATAAGCAATAATGACAATCATTTATAAATTGGTCCTTACTATCATGAAAATAGTTCCCTTAGTGTTGCTAAGCTGTGGAGGGAGGGGGAAGAATGATAAAGAAATGTAAACTGGGACCTGAATAAAAGGGAGCAATAGACACAAAGCTCTGAATGCTGACTGCGTGGACAAGGCCAGTGAGGCCAGTCAGGGACCGATTCCCGAAAGGGGACAATCACTTTGCAGGGCTACAAGTAGGGCTGCTCTGCTCTTCAGATCACAATTCCTGCCTGGCCAGCATCGCTCCAGGGTTGAGCATTGACCTATGAACCAGGAGGTCATGGTTTGGTTCCTGGTCAGGGCACATGCCCAGTTGTGGGCTCGATCCCCAGTGTGGGACATGCAGGAGGCAGCCAATCAATGATTCTCTCTCATCATTGATGTTTCTCTCTCTCCTCCCTTCCTAAAATATATATATATAAAACCCTCATATGCAAATAGACGAATGGTGGAATAACCAAACACCCGGTTGCTATGACGTGCACTGACCACCAGGGGGTGCATGCGGAACATGGTGGGAGTTGGCAGCAGGTGGCAGAGCATGGAACACGGCTGCAGTGGGATGGTGGAGCAGGTGAAAGGGTGTGGGGGGGATGAGAACAAGGCAGGGCAACGGTCACTGTCATTGGGGCGAGCCTCTGGTGGTTAATGAAAACTTTGCTCCTGCGTGCTGGCCCCACTTGCACCTGCTGCCAGCGCCAGAGCTGCCACTCGCACTCGCTGCTGTCGCCCTGTGCCAGCCCCCATTGCTTGGTGCCATCAGCAGGTGTGAGCGGTGGCAGTGGCAGTGGTGGGAGCAGGGCTGCTGGCAGACAAGGGACCTGGGCTGCGATGGGAGGAGTCAGGCAGGGCGGTGCTGCTCTGCCCACTGCAGCCTTGCTGCCCACAGTTTCCTTTCAAGGTGCATGAATTCATGCACTGGGCCCCGTGTGTGTGTGTGTGTGTGTGTGTGTGTGTGTGTGTGTTTCTATATTCATTTCAGAGAGGGAGACAGAAACATCAATGATGAGAATTGAAAACCACATCACAAAAGCAACTTAAATAGTGGCAGCTGCCCCCCTACTGGGCATGGAGCCTGCAACCTGGGCACGAGCCCTTGACCAGAATCGAACCTGGGACCCTTCAGTCACAGGCTGACACTCCATCCACTGAGCCAAACCCGCTAGGGCTATATATTTTTTTAAAGTTTGGCATTCCTTTTACTCAGTGAGAGCTTTAGGGCCAGCCTGTGGGCCTGGGAGAGACTGGATCCTGGGTTCTTCTCACCTTGTTCTGTCAATCACTGAAAGCATTATCAATACACTGCATGCATCTCTGCTTTTAGAACAGT